GGGGTTTGACGGTCCCTTTCCTGGAGGCGAAGCCACATCGGGGCGCGCTCTTTTGATAGGCGGCGAGGGTCGCGCGGAGGGAATCGCTCTTGATCGTTTTGTTGAGCTTCTTCTTGGGGATCGATGAGTAAGTGTACTATCGGGAACAGCGGATTCATGCCCGTATCTCTAAGATCATTGAAAAGTGCCAAATGGTGAATTGAAGGGTTGTGAATCAGTTAATGGAGCCTGCTTAAGCGAAAAACCTATCACATGATGGCTAAACAAAAGCTTCTCACCTCGGACAAATTTGGTTTGATATCTGGCGCATCGTTCCGTCTGGAATGGTGCGCATTTGATACAGGGGCAGAGATGAGTTCAGGTGCCGGACAGCCATCTGTATCCAAGCACATAATTTCATCGGTGTCTCCGATGGTGTGCCATCTGCCGCGTAGACCCGATTGTAGCGTTGATGGGTCCAGTGGGTCTGTGCAAGGTAAGAGAACATGAGAATTTGCTTGGGCCTGGTTAGCTTTATGTTCATGAGTCATCATGAACGTATGTCGAGGGGACGGTGAGCCATCGAGATTGAGTTGCGACTTGGACGGTAGAGTACTTGAATGAGAGTCTTTGTCAAGCGGCTGGGCTGTGATGATTGAATTGGTGTTAGAGTTGAGTAAACATGGAGTCGGCCCAAGTGTAGGAGAGGCTGTGAAGTGCATGAAAGTATGAGGTGCGTCACCAAGACTGGCACTAGCCCGAGGATAAGATCTAAAATCCCTATTGGCAGTAGAGTGGATCAAATGATCATGATAGTTCTGCCCCAAGAGAAGTCCTGATGCAGACAAGCTCGATGAACCTGCTTGTGGGCCGCACGTTGAAGCCGAGAAAGGTGGAAGCAGTACGTTGCACACTCCAGCTTTATGAACAGGCGGTTGTTCGAGCTTCGAGCCACATTGACTCGTTCGACCTCTTTCCGGTTCGGTCTAAAAGAGGAGATTCAGAACATAAGGAAATTGGAGATGACTCAAGAAGTAAGGATCATTTATGAACGTACTGAATGATCCGCATGATGATGCAGTGCGAGCTGAGGGAGATTGGAATCAGGGTTATGAAGTTGGGGTTGTGAAACAGAGGAATGTCTAGCTTGAGAATGCGAGTTCAACGGGGGATGTGAGGTCGATTGTTGTTGGTCTTCAAGTCCTGAAGAGACAACCGTTGCTTGATTGGCCTGAGATTCATTTTCGAGCGATCTCATGATCGAATTACATCCTTGCAAGATACTATCAAGTCGAGGGGTATTCTTTTCATAGAGCAAGCCTTTGGCAACCAATTGAACTAGACGGGAAGCGGAATGAGCACAATGGGGTCGACGAGTAGATCTGCCCAACTCCCTTTGAAGATGAGCAAGTGCGCCAGGACAATCTAGCAGACAAGATAGAACATGAGTAAGATTCTAGATAATCACTTTCAGAGTGTATAGATACATACCTTGCTCTGAGATATAATCCAAGATTAGTTCTTGAACCTTTGAAGGTTCGATAGTCAAGTCAGGTAGTTCAGTAAGAGAGACAGCTGGAATGAGGATACGATCGGCCAATGTGACCAAAGAAGGGGTTTCATTTGGCATCCTGGAATTTGAGAGACGATATGAATAAGTTGATATTGTGTTCAAATGCTGATTCTGTTCATGTTGATGTTGAAGTTGAAGTTGAAGTAAAGTGGTAATGAGTCGAGATGAGGTGTGGAATCAAATTGCTGTTGATCAAACATCAAATAGGTCTATGACTCGGCCCCGACCCTGAATCACCAGCGCCCCCAAGCATTTCCCTGAAACGGGGCCATCGTGTAAAATGTGACATTTCAATTTTCGATTCAGAACATACCAGTGCAAATTTGGCCTGGTACCATCTTTTGTGTGCTCTCTCTCTTTGCCCACACCTTGTATTCATTTTGTCCCGTCTTCAACCATGAAACAACAAAAAATCTTTCCTATTTCTATAATTGGACCCTTATTTGGACACCAGATTTATGGAGTGGTATGCAAAGCTACTTGAGAATAGTGCTTTGGTATTTTTTGACATAGGCACTGGCATTTGATGTCCGTAAGCAGAAGATCCAGCTCATTGAGATTCACAACTCAATGAAATGTTAAAAAACGAAATCCAGATAAAGTTGAAGCCCTGAGGGGACCTTTGATTACGGGTAAAGACATGTTTGAAGATGAGCCAAAGGAGGTTAGTGTGTGATTTTCTCAATCTGAACAGTTGGTACTTCTAATTTAAGCCATTTTATAGTCCTGAGAGTAAGCTGCAGGCTACCCTAGATTTCAGAAGCAGAGATTGTAGAAAGATTTTATCCCTGAAAGGTTCAGAATTGGCAAAATTCAATAGCTTGTTCTTTTCAAAATAAGGCTTAGAAGAACATGTAGGGCTTGTCTTTGCTGGTGGGCCAATCTCTCAACTTTTTGCTGAATCTTCTCAGAGCCTTTGTCTTTGGATCCTCAACTATCTTCTATGTAGTCTAAGAAAGAAAGATCTCAAGTACTGCAGCTTCCCAAGTCTTTCTCATTAATCACTGACAAGCTAACTTGCTCATTTTCACCTTTCAAGTCTTGGAATTCAAAATGATAACTTAACATCAAAAAAACAAGCTGGTAATAAAGAGAATTCTGATGTTTTGAATACATATACTATGTTATGACTTGAATGGGGGGACAGGGGAAAGGTACCAATTGCTGAGAAGATAAGAATGAAATGTAAGGGAGAAGCATGAATAGGCTTCTCCCAATGACTTGACAGTAGTTTCAGTATAAGCATAAGTCATGCACAAGGTTCATTACACATACTTGAGCACATACAAAATTCAAAGTGTAAAGGTACATTGAGAATGACTTTTTTGAAAAGTGCATCATGATGCAAAACCTGGTTTTCTTTGTGTCCAAGTTTTGTTCCTCTGCTAATTTTGAGAATATTGAGAATAAAAAACCTGAAATAATGTTCTTGGTTGGTTTTGACCACTGCGGACCACATGGTGACAAACAAGTTGAATCCTAGTTTGAATGTCAGCTGTCAAAGCCTCAAGGGACTTAGTTAAGTCAGGAGTGTTGATGTCCATCTCTGGAAATTGTAAACCTTTGGTTAGCAGGTGGATTGTCTTTGGCCAACTTCCTTGCTGTCTGGAAATATCATGATCCATGAATTTGGTATACAAGACACAAAAAGTTAAGCATAGTTGAACTTGAGGTCAATCATACAGTCACAATGTAATGAATGTCACAATTTGAGCTGTGGAGGTAAGTTTCTGGAAAGAGAGAAACTTGGAAAAATAAAATGTGAGTATAGTGATACATGAGCTCCATGATCCTGACAGAGGTGTCCAAGAATGAAGGGAGTGGCTTTCACATTTGAAGATTCACTTACCTGAAATTGATCATCTCATTATGAAAGGGTGGTACTCTAGAATATCATCAGGAAGTCCATATCTCGGAGGCTCACATTTCTCTTTGTTGGGTCAAGTATTTATAACCACATTCTTAATTTATTGTATTTTCAACTATTGTCATCTACTGTCTAAGAGCATCCGCACTCGTGCGGTAAATCGCGTGCGGTAAGGTAAAATTTACCGCAACTGCGGGGCCTTTCCCACACTGGTGAGAAATTAGGCCCGCGGTAGTTAACTTTTGATCGATTTGCGTTAGCGAATCGGTAAATTTACCGATTGGCTAACGCATGTGGTAGCCAAATTACCAGCCCCCTCTTCACTTCTCAAGCACACCAACTTGCCAACTTGCCAACTTGACTCAACTCCGACTCAACTCCTCTTGATTCCTCTCGACTCAAAACACCCGACTTAAGAATCAATGGAGACCCGACTGTCTTCTAATTCATCAAACTAATGGGTATGTCTGGTTTCTTACTGTATGATTCTCTTTATCCAACATTGATTAAGATTGTTCTACTTTACATGTGATTATATATATGTTCATTGAGATTTTGGATTTATCAATATCGAATTGGGTTTAAAAGGGTTTTAGATCAAAGTGGATCAATTTCTGATCGTTTGTTTTGATTTTAGAAGGTTTTGAACATGTCTTGTCGTTTGGATTGACTTCAAAAGGATTTGAAAAATAGATATCACATTCAACTGTAGAGGGGAACTATGCAAAAGGGTCTTCATTATCTGCATTTCTTTTCAAATTCTCAATGGTCTTCAACATGACAACTTTTAATTGATGGTGCAATGAATTTTTGTTTGCTTGTCTACAAACCTCTCTGTGCCAACCATCCAGTGGTGATGAGATCTCAAGTTACTCTCAAATGAACTTCCCTGTCCCAAAGCTCTTCTTCCCTGGCAGGGATCGCTTGAAATGCACTGATTGACTGAAAAGTCGATTGATTTTTTTGTTTGGTATATTTTGAGTCTGTAAACTCTGCATCAGTGTGGAAACTCAAATTACCTCTCAAGTTAGTTAACTACCGTGCAGGTAATTTTGGCACGAGTGTGAAATTTGGTCACGTTAAGTAATTTTTTACTTAATGTAGAGGTTGTTACCGCACATGACCAAGTTAACAACCGCAAACGAGTGCGGATGCTCTAAGTTATTCTAAACATAATCTACCTAATCAGAAGACTTCTTAAGTCATAAGACTCATATGCATCTGAGTCTTACCACGTGTTTGGGGGGGGGGGCCGGGGGCCGGTGGTGTTCCGATGGGGTAGGCTCTCTGCTCCCACTTCTCGGGACGTATCGTCCGGAGCCTGCGGAGAGCCTACTCGGTATGTCCCGAGGCCATCGTCCCCACAGTTTCCCCTCACCCTTGACAGCTCTCATCACTATGCTTTTGATCGCTCTTAACGTTTCGCGATCTCCTCACCACACTTATTCAAATGTGTTATCGTTTCATTTACACCTCTTCGATTCATGGAAGAAGTCATATAATCGCTACTATTCATCATATCTTCAACCAATTCCAAATCATCTTAGCATCCGCCACATCACCTGCTGTGTACTTGCAAAGGTATAATTCGTAAGCTTTAGATTCCCACCTTCCAGCTTTAACTATATCTTCTAATGGCACTTCATCATTCCATTTCAGCGTCGCTCCTCCAATCCGGAACGAGTGACCCGACAATTGGTGATCTCTACCCGACCAATTCCAGATCCTCTTATACATATTAAGTGCCATCGTCTTTGTCAAAGTTAAACTCTTTCCGTTCTTATCTGTATAACTCAATAGTTTCCCGGCCATGTCAGCATTAGGATTTTCTTTTAGAACTCTTTCCAACGCCGATACTGGACAAAGTCTTGATGGGATCCTCCTCACATGTAGGTACTGAACTTCTCCTGGTCTTGCTGTCTTGGCGTTGTATAAAGCTAACTTAAAGTACGAGTGGTCGGGCGCATAGATCAAATCGCGTCTCAATACCATAGCCTTGCCTTTTTCATCCGAGACCAACTCGCCCAACCTAGCCATCCCCCAGAAGGCCATCAAAGCAATTGCTAAAGCTAGGTGCTCCTTTTTACCACCTCCTTCCAATTCCACAACTAATTCCGCCAGGTGCCTGAGTTGAACCGGTTTCCTGACATGTTTAAGTTGTTCTTTACTTTTCGCATCTGCTTCGCTCGCCGCCTTCAACAGGAGCTTCGACACCCTATCATTTTCCAGTGGGAATGGATAGTTATGAAACAAGTGCCAAGCCCGAATACCCAAAATATACTTCGGGGGAGTACCAGCCGTAACCTTATGCTCCTCACTCATCACCAACATCATCTCTTCATCTTCAAAATCCACCTTACATTCCTTACCACCTCACACTATAAAGGACCACAGCAACTCTTGACTCAGAGGTAACAACTCTCCTCGTTGTAGGTTCTCAGATCGACCGAATGCTTCTAATTTGGACATCGCCGCGTTGTAGTTCTGTAATGTCGCCTGCGACCAGCTTCCTTTCAGCAACCTCGACTTCACTGGATTAGTCAACCAGTCAACGTTTCTTTAGATACATTTGTGTAAGTATCAAAACGTTAGCAATGCAACTCAATGCCTCGCTCATTCTGTGATGTCGAAACCTCTCACTTACCCATTCAAATCTTTCAAAAATACAGTTACTTTCCTCTCATTTGTCATCATCGTGGTTAATCTCGTACCAACAAGCCAATCAGGTCCCGAGGTAAATCTATTCGGACGTGAAGCTTATAATCTCTTTCTGTTTGTATGCCACGAGATAGTTTGTCAGCGTCGTTTTCCCCTGATGTAACCCTTCTCGCAACGACCTCACAGCCTAACCGAGTCAATACCTTCTGTATCACCTTCCACTCTTCGTTGACAAGTCGATTCCTGGATTTAAATTTGGTAATCACCGCCTCCGTTGTTGTGTTATCGGTATAGACAATGAATTTCTTATTTCTAGTTGGTGTGATTTGTTCTAACATAAGTAGCCCGATTCGGACCGCAACAGTTTCCAACCAAGCAATATCACACTTTTGACTGCCTTGTGAAAGGTGCTCGGTTCTCCAATTATCGACAAGTTTAAAACTCGTCCATTGGTCCCCGATTAGCACCCCAACTCCATATCCCGTACTCGCATCTCCAACCCACCCGATCTCAGTTTGCTCCAGATCCTCAGTAAACTTCAGCCTGTCGAAACTTTCGAGGTTCTTCTGCCATTCTTCTAATTCACTTCGCGCACCTTCGGGTATCTCTCTAAGAGCACTGTGGTTGTACCAAGATTTATCCCACCAGTACATGTTCCACAGATAACACTTCATCATCGGCAGTAAGTATATTAGGTGACTAAGTTGACCGACAATCTTTTCAACCTCCTTCTTTGAGCACTTCTTTCCGGGAATCAGTAAGCTTTTAATTTGTTCTATTCTTTCAAGTTGTTTTTCATCCGGTAACCTAACTGATTTCTCTTCACCATTCCAAATGAAGCCTAAGTACTTCTGTTCTGTATGCCAGTCACAGAACTTCTCTTCGTTTGATTGTACACCCAGGCTCTCACTCAATTTAAGGACATCCTTCATATCTAGTAAGTCGTCTTCTACTTTTGTGAACATATTATCATCAACCCAGCGGAAAATTTGTTCAACTTGGAATTCTAATAGTATGATATCTCTCCACGCATCTGCTAGCCAACCAAAGGTCCCACATCCGGCTACACCTCCGAATGGGATCCTAGTGTCCACCCAAATTCGGTTTTCAAAATCTTTAATGGTGAGATATTTCCATTGGCGTGTATGTGTTGCTCCTTGTCGATACGCCTTCAACCAGTCTACCATAGCTAACAAAATTTTCCGTTTAAGGTTGGCTTTGAAATAAGATGCCACTTTGTTAAAGTCATCCCATGTGGTCATAAAATCGTCTTTGTCCACGTATGAGTTCACCGAGGGGATCCCTTCACCTTCAGAGTGATACGTCGTTCTCTTGATCCATTTCAACGCCTCGTCAGATCGTAAGTCCTCACCATCAGTGTCCGAATCTCCTTCTTCTTCTATCTCTGACACTTCTTTCCTTTTCTTTGACATTGATGGTTTTGTTCTTGGGTAAGACAGATCATTAATCATTCTCAGTGACCCATCATTGTTAGTCACGCTCCCCATCGGATTAGATCGAAAGAAACCTAGTTGTTCAAAAGTCTCCTCATGGGTGAACGGGCCATAGATACGTCCTAACCTCCTCTCTTTCATTAGGTTCTTCATTATCTTATCTTTGACCGCTAAAGCTGACTTGTGGTTGTCGGGCGTGAACCACTTGGAATCCTTCCAGGAGTGTTCGGGGATTCCCTGGTCGAAACCTTCTGTGAGCCCTTTCCACACCTTCTCCCACTTACTCATTAGGTCATATTTAGTCAGAAGTCGTTGCCATTCCATCAGATTCATCTCGTTTTTAGCCACACTTGGCCAGTCCTTCAGGTAACTTGTGTTGTCGATAACTTCATCATCTAGAGTCGAGTCAATTACCCGGTCAGGGGGCCGATCATTTTTTAACCTTTCAGCTTTCATTTCTCGAGTCACCACACATAGTTCTTCTCTAATAACATTCAAATTAACGGCAACCCCATGTTAATAAGGAGACAAACAAAAGGAAACAACACAACGTAATTAGTTTTCTATTATCTTTCAAACTACAAACTCTTCGAGTCACTCAATCAAATCACAAATGGAAACAGAAAGGGAAGGCATCATAACATCTGAAACATGATTTCAAGTAAGTTCAACAAATTTCTCTTGTCTTTTATCTCTCGTTTTTTTTTTTTTTTTTTGGATCGTAAGACAAGAAGAAGAGTGAAAGGGATAGTATTCTCTAATGAATTGACATGTCACTTTTTTTTTTTTTTTTTTAACTTACGTTGAGTTAGACTGTCCACTCGCAACACTTTTCTCTTTCCCTTTGTTTCCAGCTACTCCCAAGGCTTTATCAAAACTTCCAGGGCCTATCGCCGGCCGAACTCCTCCTCCTCGGGCACCTCCTCTACTCCCCCTTGACGGATTTCCTCGACTTCCGCCTCTCCAACCAGTTCCCCTACCGTTTGAGTAAGTCATTCCGAACTCTTCATTATACCCACTACCTGCAGGATGATTCCATTGTGAAGCGTGATGGCTAAGGGTCCTATCATACATTGGGTTGTAGTTCCTCCCTTTGTAACTGTTTCCGGCCACTTTTCCTGAGCTGGGATTTTTAACTGCTGCTGCGATCGGTTGATGTATTGGTAAGTTGGTCACTGAAGAGAGATTCCTTCCTGTCAACATTTCAGCTTGCGTGTCTATGAGGGCGCTGTTTGAATCCCAGGACGCGTTTGCAGGGTAAGTCTCCCCATTGATCGGGCTGACATGTTGCATCACATTCCCAAAAGCATAGGGGTTATCGACATATTGATAGTCTCCGAAGTGTTTTGCGTCCTCTTTAGCTATTTCGGCCAACTCTGCATTGAACATCCCTACATCTGCCATTGAACCATCAAGTAGGCGATTTTCCCAGACGTTACGGCGATGTGCGATGTCGTACCTCATAGCTGGCGTCCACTTGCCGTAACACTTGATTTGGATGTTCAACACGTTTTGTTTGTGGGCGATAAGTCTAGGAGCTATTGGAGATGACTTCTGCGCTTCTAGGACGTCATATTTTTCAGCTTGATATCGTACCATCAAATCAAATCTGGTCGACCACTCCATGGGCGTTAGGCGATACTCATTCACATAGGGTAGGCCTACATAGGACACAATATTCGTGGAGCAGCTAGTTTTTGTTGATCTGGTCTTCATAAACAGGGCATCTTGTAGAATCCAAGTTGGGTCGAAAATCGATACCGGCATATGCACGTTTTTATTTACCATTATATCATGGAAATACTGGGAGAGGCCTGTCATGTTGTTCGCTGGTAAGCTTCCCAGAGTCATTTTGGTGTTTGTTTCAATTTTCGATTTTGACTTTTCTTTTGATGTCTCAGCTTGAATAGGTGCTTCAGTTGCTTTCTCTGAGTATGTGAAGTCCATCATTCCCCAGTCTCGAGGTTCCGTATCTTCTTTTTGGCACCAAAATTGATACTCTTCTCTGAAGACTCGGTGTTGCGAAATTAAGTCTCTTTCGAATGATTCTCTGATGTTATGTAACCACTTCGCGTGACCG